TAAATATTTCTAATATTATTCGAATTATTTTTTCATTTTTTTTAGTTTTATTATTTTTTAAAATTTTGTAAATTAGCAGAAATACTTTCGAAATTATTTCGTTTCTTTCGCAATATTGGGAAATTATTTTATTTTGAAATAATTTCGCATCAATCACAGTTATTTCAAAAGATTTTTGGTATGCAAAATCTTTCACAATATTTTGTATATTTATTCTGTTGATGTAGAAGTACCATCAGAAAATAAGATTTAAAATTATATTAAATGTTAATAAGCTTTCTAAAAAAATATTAAAATTTAATGGCACCTATAAAAAATTATATTGCAAAATTTTATGCTTTTGTAAAAAGCACAAAGGCAAATAATAGATATAAGAGTTTAATGTTTACATTATTCTATACAGGCTATTCTAATCAAAAATTCTAAATAAAATATGATATATATCATCCAGAATATTGTGAAAACAACTGCTATAAATAATAGTTTAAATGTGAAAATGATTTCTTTTTTTTAAATATAAATATAGAAACTAGAACATTTTCTTCAGATATAAAAAATGAAGTATTTTTTTCTGATACAAATAAAATTGATATTGTTAATAGTAAGAAAAATAAATTTACAATATGAACAATTATTTAAACTTAAAAAATCATTCCAAGTTTAAAGATATTACTAATAACTTGTTGGATCTAGAAAAAACAATTCAAATAGATAAATGTGATTTAAGTGATTTAAAAACAATATATAGTAATAGTGAAAATAGTTTAATTAGTACTTCAGAAGAGCCATCAAATAATTCTGATATTAAAAATGATGATTCTATAAACAATAAAAGTGCAAAAACTTTTCAAAAAAACAATAAATTACACAACAGATTGGATAATTTTTTGGTTATTAAAATATCAATTATGATTTAAATTTTCTAATATTGTTATTAATATTATCATAAAATTCATATAAATTTTGCTTATAGATATTGATCCAAATTATTTTAATGAACTACCAACATTATTAGATATGGCAAGACAATAATTTGGTTTAATGATAAAAATAAAACATTATTCTGTTTATTCAAGATGCTATAAGCTCTATCCAATTAATAAAGTTGAAAGTATAAATTAGACAATGTTTTAAGAATAATGCTCTATGATCATATTAAATTTTTAACTTATCAAGTTGCCAAATATTGAGAACTATGTAATTCTGAACTGTTAAAACAAGCAGATGGTTCTATTAATAAATCTATCTTTCATGCTAAAATGATTTTTCCACAACCAAGCCTGCTACAACAGTTTTTAATAATGTACAAATAGCTAGGATTTGAAGAGAAACTACATTATTGGACTAAATAGTGTGTTTAAAAAAAAATTCAAAGTAATATATATGATGTTGAGATGTAAAAAACTTTTAATAATAAGGGTAAATTATTTTTTATACCAAATACTGCAGATATAAATCTTAAACTACGTTTAAATATAGATTGGTTCCAACTATTTGCAGATGCTTAATACAGTGTTGGTGCAATTTATGCTGCAATTCTTAACCTTTTATGAGAAGAAAGGTTTAAACTAGAGAATATTATATATCTTGGTCTTATGCCAGATCCAAAAGAAACAAAAAAAAGTACAATTAATAATTTTTTAAATCCAATTATTAATAAACTCAAAAGTGCATGAAATGGACTAAAAATTTAACAAACATTTGAATAAATTAGTAAAATCAATATTAAAGTGTCATAATTTTATGTTCATATAACCTTCCTGCTGGACATAAGCTATATGGTCATGTTAGTACTAAAAGCAAATATCATCATTATCAGAAACATACTAACTCAGAAGGTTACTATGATGGCTTTAATAATATAGACCAATAGTTCATAGATACTAATCCTACTAAATATTGCCATTATGCAGTTGAATGGTTATGCTATAAAAATAAAAGCCAAAAAAATGCACATGTAAAAAAGTATGATATTAAATAATCAGAGATGCTTTATTTAAGTTATTTTGATCCAATTCAGTTTTTAATAATTGATCTCATGCACTTTTTGTTTCTTAGGATTTCTTACTTTATTATTAAAGATATTTGAATTGCTAAAAGCTGTGTTATTAATCATTTAATTATTTTTTATCAGAGACCTACTCTCTCTTTCTTCTTTTAATATATAAATAGTTAGATTCTTTATATATAATTTCAACTTTTTTTATCACCTCTCTTTCTAAAAAATTACCTGATTTTTGACACTTTCCTAAAGATAAATTAACTAATAAAATACTTAAAATGATACAATCACAAGTTGATGCTATACAACTACTATCAGACATTAGCCAATTGCCAAGAAAGATTTATATTAAAAATGATGATTTTTCTAATTTTATTGCAAATCAGTGAAAAACCTTTATACATGTATATGCAATAGCTATAATGTGAAATTTACTTGATAGTATTGATAGATAAATTCTTGCTTTGTTTATTAAAACATGTAATATTTTAGTTTGTAGAATTATTAAAAATAAGAATATTGATTAAGCTTATAAATATCTTCTTGCTATTGCTAGAATTGTTGAAGATGTTTATAGTAGTTAATCAATTACTCTAAATTTTTATGCCAGTTTACATATTGCCCAGTATTGTAAAAATTATGGTTCACCTTATGCTATTTGGACTTTTTTATTTGAGCAATTAAACAGTTTTTTGGATATATATATAGTACCAGATTAATATTTAATGAAATGTTATGAGTGTAAATTATTTATACTAAAATAATATTTATTTTGATTTAGGTGCTTTTCTCAACAACTGTCATCAAATAGAATCAAAGCTCATGCATATTATAATGCAAAACCTTATTGTAGAGAATTATCTAAATCAATTACAATTTTCTTCTCAGTTATTAGCAGCTTTTAATTTAATAAAATCTCAGAAAGTTACAAGAAGTTTACTTTATAATGAAGAAAAAGAACAAGTTGATCTAGAAAATTTTTTACAAATATCAACAAATATAAAAATGGCAGCTAAAAAAACTGAACTCTTTCTAGGAAGATTACTTTTATCAGTAAGAAAACAAATTCGGTTACCTGAAAAAATTTTACAACAACTAGCAGATTAGTATAGTAATGTATATAAAAAAACTTATCATTCATGTCTTATACCTGGTTCAAGTAATAGTATAATAATTGATCTATATATTAATCAATATGGTCAGTTGCTGATTGGTACAAAAGTTTTCAGTTCAACAATATTATGGAAATATTAAACTAATGCAAATATCTATGCAAAGTATTTGGCATCTGATAATTCTGTTTATATATATTCAAGCTGTGTTAATTTTTATTTTGAACATAAACTATATATTGATAGTCATTTAAAAGTACATCAGCTTGCATATGTTAATTAGTTTGATCAGTTTAAGAAGCACAGACAAGGTTTTGGTTGTCACCTAATCAAAAAGAAAAATATTGTAATATTGAATTGTAGAAGAATAGTTTTTATAAAACTGAATAAGATTCAATTCTTCCTATTTATAACATTTATAATAGATGTATATTAGCAAAATTGGCTATTTCAAATAGAAAAGATGCTATAATATATCTTGTTATAATTCTATTAAATTATAGATTTTATTTGTAACAAAAAGTTTGATACAAACAATGCTAAGTACAATACAACTATATTATAATTTTAAATTAATACAATAACAATACATATATAAATAAATTTAATTCAAAAAGCATTATAAGATAATCAGCAAAGTCAAATATAATAAATAATTTTAGTAAGCAATTACTATCTATTCAAATAGCAGATAAATTATTACTAAATTTAGTTTGAATAATATTATTTTTTAGCTTAGTTTTAGATTAAGCTGAATTATTAATAAATCTTATTTGAATAACACTATTGTATTTGAATAATATTTAGCAACAATTTGGTAAGTATCTGAAAAATAGATGATTCTAAAAATATACTGAATATGATATAAATTAGCTAAACTTGTTCTAACTACTATAAAATTTAATAAGCATTCAGCATGTCTGAATTTAGTAAAAATTTTTAATCTTGACTAGTGATAGACATTATCTTTAACATTTCTAATGATCATCAACCTATTATTAATAAATCATATAGCAAAGCAGTAACATTAAACTTATCAAAGCCAAAAAACAACACAACTTTCGATTAGTGTAATTCTGTAACTAAAGCTCTTGCTGCAAGATGAGTACTTAACTTTGATCTTCAAACTTGGAATAACAATAAAATAATTGAAGCTCTTAATAACAAACAACAACTTCTAGAATTTTTTATTCACAAAATCTAAACTATCTCTTCAAATTACAATATTCTATATACTATTAACCAAAAATTTAATTATTTAAATACAGCATTTTTTGCTCTTTCATAAAAACAAAATCTACAGCTCCTCAATACCAAAAAGAATTCAACTCTCTATACCAAATTACTCTCAAAAAATATAAAAAATTATCTAATATTATTTTGATTAACAAATTCAACAGAAATCAAATTTACAAAAAACTCAAAATTAAACTTGTATTAGATTTTATTAGAAATCTAGATTTTCTTACAACTAGCCCTTATAAATGTACAAGACATATTTTCTACTGCCTTAACTTTGCACAAATCCTTTGTGCACTTATCTTTAAAGAAACATGCAAACTTCTTAATGAAGCATACTCTCTACTCCTTATTCTACTACCAACTTTTTCAGACCTAATTGACCAAAATATAAAAAAAATACATCTCTTTTCACTTCTAATTGATGACTGAAAATATATTTGAGCAATAGTGCTAGCACTTTATAAAATCTACACTTTCAACCAACTTAATAAAAACTATTTTGCTAATTCTATTATTACTCTTTTTGACAATCCAACTGATCTAAATGCAGAAACATATGCAATATTTCCAATAACAAGCTAATTTAAACTATCTTATTTAGCAAAATATAGACAAAAACTATATAAATATTATGACTTTGATTGTATACTATCCAACTACTTTAATCTACTACTCACTTGGGAACCCTTATCATTAACACTTCAAAATCTTAATTTAGTTGTAAGATACCTTTTTTCTTGTAATCCTAAAGATGCAACTAACTTCAAATACTATATAAACATTTTCTAAAAGTACTATAGTTTTTACAAAATTCTAAATGACTATTTTATCCAAAAAAACTACTTTCAAAAGAACCAAATCAAATTAAGACCTCTATTACTTATAACTTTTTATAACTAATTATCATTTGACAAAAGAATTCCTAGCAGAAATACAAGATACATATAAGTTCAACATCTCACTATCACTACAGTATATAACTGTTAACTCTACAAACAAATCTTAACTACTTACAGATTCTAATTTGATTACAATGCTTAATCTAACACTTCTTATCATAAATTCTAAAATCTTAGTAAAAACTGCTAAACAACTTCATATATACTATTTTTTTACCTACTATCTACAGAATGAATCTTAATCAAAGATACTACAAAAAAAAAAAATATGAAACCAAATCTTCTTTTAAGTCTTGATGAAATTTAAACATGTTTAAAAGAACTAGATTAATCTCAAACTATTCAACTACTAATATCAGTTTTGTATACCAAATTCAAACATTGTTGCAATCAAATTTGAACATTGTAGCAATCAAATTTAAACATTGTAGCAATCAAATTTGGATATTATAGCAATTAAATTTAGACATCAGTAAAATCAAATTTGAACATTATAACAATTGAATTTGATTTTACTAATATTTAAATTTGATTGTTATAATGTCTAAATTTGATTGCTATAATGTTCAAATTTGATTGCTAAAATGTTCAAATTTGATTGTTACAATGTCTGAATTTGATTGCAACAATATCCAAATTTGATTACAACAATATCTGAATTTGGTATACAAAACCAATAACAATACACAAACAAATAGCAGACAACATCTTACAACTTTATAACTACTTTTTATTTCAAGGTTTATCTCTATAACTTATTAAACTTTTCAACTTACTTGATCATTATTGAATATTTTTAATAACTACTTTTCTCAACTATAAGCACTTCACAATTAAGATCTGATTTATCATCTTTCCAAATAGTCAACAACAACTTAACTAAAATACTAGATACCTCAATAAACAATTTTACTATAAACATTAAGGATCATCTTAACATTACTACTCATAATATTCAAGAACTCAACAATCTACTAAAGTTGCAAATTTGCCTTGAATATTGTGCCAAAAATAATTATCACATAGTTTCTATTATAGAAACAAAACCAAAAAACTCTTCTTTTGCAAAACTCTCTAATTTACTATATAAAATTTATATATCAAACTTTATATCTAAAGATAACTCTCAATGTGAAGCCAGTATAGGTACTGTAATTATGCTTTATAACTTATTTTAACCTTACATATTCAATATACAAACTGTTCTAAGCACTGCAATATGCATTGATTTTTACTTTTTTGCAAACAACAAACTTCATATAATTTTATTATACTTATCTTCAAACTATTCAAAACAGCTCAAATCTATACAAAACACAATTATAAATTAGTTAACCCAAGCAAGAAGTAATAATTGGTATATAATTACAATAAGAGATTTTAATGACAACTTCAATTGACACAAATGATTAGCAAATCTTTTCTCTTTACTTCAACCCTTATCATTCACAAGCTTATTAGAATTCTATGCTATAACAGAACCTACTTGGCAAAGAGGCTCAAACAGAGTTAAATTAATGACATATAAGTTAATTCAGAAGTTCTTTTAGATTTTACCACACTCTCAATTATTGATTTAGTTGATATTACAAATAGTAATCATAAAATAATTATTACTACTTAGAAGACAAACTTTCAACTAAAAATACCTAGATCCAAAAAAAAGAAAAGAAAGATATATCTTTACTACCAAATAACAACAGACATATAAAAAGAATTTGCTAACAAACTTGAAACTAAAATCAAGTTATTAAATCTAATTTACAATATTACAATACTACAATAGCTAAACAACTTCTGGAATAAATGATCAAATTCAATCAAGAAAGTTGCAAACCAAACTATACCAAAAACATATACTGTACTTAAAAAACATCAAGCCTTTTCCCTCAAAACAACTAAATTACATTTAGCACTTAAACTAACAAACAAATGCTTTTTTATTTTGAGAAATAACAAACTTCCAATTTTAATTTATTTTACAATACAAAATCTAAATAATTTATTTTAACAAATATTATTATACTCAAAACAATTCATTACTTTATCTCTTAAACTGTTTTCCAGACAAATTTGCCTGGATTTTTAAATTAAATTTAGTATTTTTTAAATAACATAATAAATTATTAATAATATAGGGTACAG